ATATCTAATATCAGTTAACGTTCCTATATGTATTATAAAAAATAAAAACGGACATTAATATAGTTAATATCGTGAAACAGAGACGGGGCGAAGGAGCTTCGACAAAGCGTGAAAAACGTGTGTAAGAACGACGAAAGACTTTGTTTGTCGACGGCGGGTCCTTCGCGCGACATCGGGAGAGGATCGATCGATCGATCCGATCGATCGTTGTAATCGTGGATACACGCCTATCGCGGTGAACGAAACTTATCCCCTATCGAAACGAGTAATTAGAAAACGCAAGGATCAACGCGATCGAAAGAAACGTAAGAATCGAGGAGGATTTCGTAGGCGCGAGTTCGTTTCGCGAATAGCGATCGATATAAAACGATATCTCACATTTCCTTTTCTCTCAGCTCGTCGCTAAATCTCTCTATTAGTTGCGCTTCTTTCTTTCTATTAACATCCTGTCTAATTTATTCCCATTGCCGCTGCTCTTACGTCCGCTACCGATTTCAGAGCGCGACAAGCTTCCGTCCCCTCAAAAATTCCATTACTTTTTAATTAAATATATAATTTCTTATATCATATGTATATATATATATACATGCGATATACGTGTGTATATATACATACATTCGTCATATACATTTGTCGTAGTGTTAGTAATTAAATAGCGTTTGCTCGCCTAAGAGTGTGTAGATTTTCGGCGTTTCTCTTCGCGAAATGTAGAGAAAACGTGAAAAAGAAGTGGAATAAATGAGTGAAGAACGTTTCGAAAGTCGAGAGTCGCCGGAAACCACCGTCGTAAGGCTTCGTTCCTTCCACGGAAGGATATACTCTTCTTTATGTATATATTTATATATATATATATAATATGTGTAATGTGTATGTAATCGTTTCGTCGTTTGATCCACGATCGAATCCTGTCTCTCGTATCTCGCTCTTCTCTCACTCTCGCGTCGTTCCTTTTCCCTCCTTCTGCTTTCATCATTCCCTCCCAAATATTTTTTTTTTTTTTGCATTTTTCTTTTTATTCGCGAAATCAATGCCTCCACGGCGCGTGCGCGCGCGCGTGCGACGGATCAAGCACGAAAGGCGCGCGCGCGCGCACGCGAGCGATTATGTCGGTGTAGAAAGAAAATATCAGCGGATTTCGTTTAGTGTATATACGAGTATAAAAAACTTCGTTATTCGTTATATTTTTGGGGGGTTTTGCCTTCGACGTGCATCCCTTGAAGTTCGTTACCTATAATTCTGACTCTGCCGGACTTATGGTTGCTCGATGCTCTAACCCTCCTGATGCTGACCGTTTATTCGACCCTCCTTGGATTCGGAGAGACGAATAAATCCTTGTTCGAGCCCGAATCCGAATGATTTTTTAAGGAAAGTGTCGACGAGTCTTACTCTTCGTCATCGTATTTAACAATTATAGCAAAGATATAAAAGGAAGAAGTAAATAATTAATGTAATTACGATTATAAATATACGTGCTTCGAGTGGAAAGTAAAAAATGTGAATATCCGCGATACATATGCGAATCTTTAATGAAATTGCAATACTTTGAAAAATGTAATTTCTCCGTGAAACGATACCATCGGTTACAAGGAGCATCGGAGCTCCTTCGCTTATGTTATATATTATAGGAAATATTTACAATAATAGCAGAAGAATCGCGATACATATTTCCCCACGCTAGTCGTCGAAAACAACAGACTCTCTTTCGATATGCTTGCCGATTCACTGGAACGCCATAGAACGCTCGAAGCAGTGGCAACATCAAAAGGGTTAAATAATTCCGCCAAGTATTCCCCATTGGTCTCAGCCAGCCTACTCGCACGGTATGAATTCGTTCGATTGCCACGAACGTGCAGAAATTTTACGATCCTGCAACTCGGAATACCCTGTTCCCACGGGATCGTATAACTCCTAACCACGTTTCCCTCTGTATGCATAGTACGTGTATAATATATGTACACATAATAGTAGCAGGATCTTACGGAACATCAACCGAGCTTCCCTCGTGTTTCTCTCGTGGATACTCGCCTCTCTGCCCCGAAAACGTGTCTCACGACCATCTGGCAAAGCTTCCTTTCGTTCCTTCTGCCAGCATTCGATCAACGTGGAAGAACATAAAGACCTCGAGTCGAACACTCGAGACTAATGGAAGTTTTTCAAAGGAAATCTATGCTTTTGGAAATCAGTCACAAGATTCAAGAATAAATGATCCACTTGGATACGCGTGATTGGAAACATCAGATGAGAAGGAATCTTGGGAACATGGTACATCGAAATGGAATAAGATTACCACTTTAGACTAACGAAAGTATCGAACGAAAATTTAACGAGCTTTCGTAAATCGAGGATATTTCGAAATTCAAACGATCTCTCGGGATCACTATGAACCGAAAAAATCGGTGATAGATGATGATGCTTAAAAAGAGAGAAGAGTATCGAGAACATAGTACTCTAGATTTTTAACACGTTGACTGCTATGAGGGTTTACGCTTGTCTCCTCAGTGGGACCATAATGGTCATCGGTGTCCAGCGATACTAACTTTTCAAATTTATATTTGTTTTACTCTAACCAATTTTTGCATATCTGAACAACGTAAAGAAATAGAGAACTTTGAATAGAAAACGTTAATAATTTGCACCGTTTTTGTTTTCTTTGATATATTCTTTGATAATTCATCGTTATATCCTAAGAATAATAGAAACTTCCTCGTGGCCCCCTGAGAGTACTATATAAAAAGTGCGTGATAGTCAAAGTGTTAAGAAATCCGAGGGAGTACAGTGAAGATGAAAAACAGAGAAAGTCTCGAGAATAAAATAGACGTATAATGAAAAATCTTGATCTATAGAAATTCGCGAATTTTCGAAAGGCAACTGTAACTCTATCGATCATAATGGACTCTGTATTAGGAATTAAAAAGTAAATATTTATACAAAATGATCACGCGTTAAAATAATTAGAGAGCAAGGATGAGTAACACGCGTAAGAAATGAACTTGAGACGCGTCAAAAATGGAAAATGGCCGATGGGTTTCTTTGGAACCGGAACTCATCTAGCGATCTAACGATTGACTGTCGAAACTTGGGGAAAGTATATCTTGATATCGAAGATGGAGGGTCTGAGTCTGTAGATAATCCGCTGAATCTTCAACGATCGTCTGCAGACTATTCTAGTCATGGCTCTCTTTCATGGAAGTCTAAGTGAACGAAGGAGGAAAGGAGGCAGGATTAAGGAAGACCTCGTGTACTGGCACTCGATCGTGACGGACGTGTTTCGAGCATCCTCTCGAGGACGTTTCTCTCGCTGACGCGACGCGGCTGATCTTCAATTTCGACGACCCACTCGATGCATCTGCTCCAGTCAGGGATACTGCATCCCCGATCTGTGGCCAATTCACACGAGTAAAATACCGTTTTGTCCCGTGATATCGGGAAACACGTTCTCGCGGGCAGACGACCGTCTGACCCCTTAGGCACTCCAAGCCTAAATCACGCTTCATGGCGGCTAAACACGAGAAGAAGTTAGCGAGGATCACTTAGAGGAGCTGACAAAGAACTGTCTTCTATTAGAAGAGAAACTCTTGACCCGAGGGAATCGTTGTCACGAACGAATTTCACCTGTTACCCGTCTATTCTCCCTATCTTCAAGGGACGACACGGGTAAGAGAAAAAAGGACAGGGAAGAGGAACGAACTCGTACGACTCCTTCTCCAACTGGCGAAACAACGAGCCACGATTTCGTTCCTCTGGTCCTTTTCTTTCTCTTCGATCCGCGTTCGATACGCTCGCCTTTTCTCCTGATCTCTATCTGGCTCGACGAAAACCTACGCATCCGAGGAGATTCGCAGAGGAGGATGAAATAGAATCGAATCGCTCCTTTCGATGTCTATTGACGACGACGACGACGACGACGACGAAGAGAACGATGAGGACGAAAACATCGAAACACGCGTTCCAGTTGATCCGTCTCTATCTCTTTTCTCTTTGTTCTCGTCGATCTTGCTCGACGATCAGGCCGATCGTGATCCGGCGAAACGCGCGCTCGAGAACCTCTTGTTCCTTTGTTCTCTCGTAGTGGCTCTCTCTATATACCTCTCTCACTCGTCCTCTCTCTCTCTGCTCGTTGCTTTTTTTTTGTTTTCAGTTTTGCGATTTTTTCCTCTTTTTTTGTTTGTCTTTCGATATAAGTCCCTTTCCGTTCTCTGGCTGCTCTCTTTCGGTTTCACTCGAGTGTCTGCCGGTTCTCTTACTGCTCGCCTCGTCGTGATAGATACATATCCGCTAAACGAGAAGGAGTAACTAGGGCGTCGCTGGCGATGTGATCGCCATCAGAGGCGCTGGCGGCAACGCGACCGGTATGTGATAATATTTACACTGGGGTCGCATGCACGCGCCCTTCACTGCGTCCCTGCACACGGTCACGCGATTCTCGATCACCTCCACGTTTCCTGCAAAAGTTCAAACGATCATTCGTTAGGGACACCGAGATAAGCTGCAGTTTCGCTGGGTTTTAGTGCGCGCTGATCTTCGTAATAAGAGAGATCTTGGCGTACTTTTACGCGTAGCTTCCCGATCTCGTGTTCGTGGAGAACTGGGAAGCGATTAACCCTTTGGACTCGAACAGTGGTTCGCTATCCGATATTTACAAGGTACCGACATTTTTAGCTGAAATTAGTATTACCTTCTCCACCTTCGATTTTCTAGGGAAATTGATTTTCGAAGCATTATTCAGCATTCGACAGCTCGCACGCGAGGTTGTCGTGTGGAAATCCTTTCGAGTACAAAGGGTTAAACGATTATGCGTACAATGTCTAATGCAATTAACGTAAGTGGCAAGCTGTGTTAAAGGTAAACTCGTTTCTACACGATTTTCAGGTGCCGAAATGGTATTGCGTATGTTACTAGGATTATTTTCTCCTTTGAAATTGTAAAAGCTTTTCAATTTACCATGCTGATTATACCCTTTACCGCGAGTTTATTCGAGAAAGAGTTTAAAATTCAAGGAAGAAGTTAGACCAGGCAATTATTTCGATCGAATCGTGGCTTTGAAGAAACCATACGATTGAGTTAATAAAAATATTTGTAAAACGAGAGAAGGTAGAAGGTAAGAGAAAATAAATTATTGGTTGAAAGGGTACACAGCGAGTCGAATCGATAAATTCGCGAGATCGGCGAATGAACAAAAGATAATTCCATAATCGTGGCTGTTCGTCTCTGAACCGTCCTATAGTCTATCTATCCATCTGGTTGTCTACTTATTCCAGGGAGAACAGTTCCGTCGTGCTGGAATTTCAATAGCTGAATTATTCTCAAGAAGATCGTGAGTCGCGTATACTCGCTGTATTCTTGTCTTGTGTCTTAAACTTTGCAAAATTCCCTCATCATTTATAGTTCAATTGTCATTGCAATATTATCGAAGTGGCAAATTATTCAGTCAAAAATTAAATCCTAATACTAGTCGAATCGATAATATATAGAGCGAATCGAGTATATCGATTTGTATATTAGAATTTATATAATAGGAAATATTTTGATATCTTATGATCAATTACGCGGGATTTAGAAAATTTTGAAATATCTTTCACGTTCGTTATTTAAATATATTTTGGATTTCGAGCAACAGGATTTCTCTTCGCAAATGAAGAATGCGTTTATAGATAATCATCGGTAATTATTAATGCTCCACTGGTAGAAGATTCGATAGATATATACTACTTTTTGTAACGTGGACATTCGTTGAAGGTGAGTGATTCGGTTATCGATAGACTGGAAGTAATCTATTATTTTTCCTAGTCACGGCTAGTCGAGTAATCTGTAACATTGATAAAGTTGCGTGCAGTTCGAAACAGCGGTGACCAATAGATTTGTCATCCGTCGCATATTGCGGGCATGATTGTTTTGCGGTGAATGCGTGGTCGTCAACTGCAAAATGGTCGCAAAATACAAATGGCCTTTGACCAGACGTCCAATTTGATATATAAAGAACGTATAATCCCGTCGAAACAGGACATGTGATGTAAAACTGAGCTAAAAAATATAAACACAAGTTGTTGAATACGAATTACCCTTTTTATCTCGTACGCTACAATACACCACAATAGACAGTGCATCAAGTGTAATTAATACGAATTCTACGCTCGAAAGAATTTCATTTTTCAAATAAACCGAGCATAAGCTTCCGAAAAACAAACAGAAGATTAAGAATCTAATCAAACCTCTTCCAAAGAAACTTCCAGCTTAAAACACTCTTATGCACGTTAAACATACACATTTGGCTGTAAAATTATTCAATTATACACATTCGATAAATATTCAATCGGTATCGGATTCAAGTTTTAATTAAAAAATCCAACTAGCCAGCTTTCTATCTTCTTCCTTTGAATTTTTAAATATCTCAAACTCATTTTCTTGGGGACGAAGGAAACCCGGCAAAAGGATAATACAAAACCGCTACGAATTCTCATTATATACCATCGGTGCACCTTGCACGTAGCAGATGTTTCGCCCGACACCCCTTAATCTCGCTAATAACGCATAATAACAACTTATGACACTGTACTCACCGTCTCGTGTAGCTGAAAGGAACACAATCTCGACAATTTCAATTAATCAACGTACATGAAAGAGAAAATAAAAGAAGAGGGGGAGAAAAGAATGAAAGAAAGCGTGGAAGAATGGATTGAGAGGCGTAAGAAAGAGAGAAAGAAAAGAGAAGGTACAATAAGCTTGGGTTTTACAACGACGACGGCCATGTTCCCGCATAAGGGAACCGACCGGACTACTAGCGCCACCGGGCCGTGAAACTCACCGTCACTGAGATGGATAAACTTGCAGGCGGGACGGTTGCACACTTGTCGATTAAAATCTTGGCACACCGGGAGGGTGTCCAGTAACTGAAAGAAAATGTGCCAGGTACTTTTATAACTGGTACTGTCGAGGTGCTCGCGAACGATAGTTACAAGGAAAAGGAGGGAAAAAAAAACAACTCTCACATTGTCTCGCACCAGTCACACAAGGCAGGCACACGCCATTCACGCTGTTCAACGAGCACACAGGGCGAAGACAAGTGTCCTGCCTTTTGCCCACATTCACGCGCACGCGTTCATTGGAAATCATTGGACACGCACATTCAAACTCAGTTCAGTGTTAGAGCATATTCACGGTATATTACATGCTCTAAAAAATCGGATCGTATACGAATATTAATTAATTGCTACTGGTACGCGAATAATCGACCAGGCACGATGGATATCGAACGATTTCGACGAATATTTTCTTCTTCCTTTTTATATTTTATTCCTGACAGCGTTCGTGGAATATCCATTCGCGGTGTCGACTGTTCGCGCAGGTCGAATTAAGAGGAAAATTTGCAGTAGAACTTTTTTCTTTTTCAAACTGGTCATTCCCTATTTCTCTATCGTGAGTCGAGACATTGTACTCTAAAACTGATCGGTTTCTCTATATTTTTTTGTCTTTTTTTTGCATTCGTTATCGACGTCGAGCAAGTCAATCATCAGCTTGCTATCTACCGTGATCGTTCTTACGATACGACACGACACGTTACACGTTCATTGAAGGAATTGGTGAGATTCGAATGGGCGAGAACAAAGGACTCGTATCACTTGTCTACGCGAACGGTTTTTCACGCGTGAGTCTGTAATTATGGTAATCTTTTTTTCTGCTTTTTGTCATCTTTTCCCTTTTCGATTTTCCCTTTTTTTTGTCTCAGCATTCCCAACACTTTGTGTGCAAGGAGCGTGCCTATAAACGAGGATCGCTGGATTCGCAAATTTTTTCGAAAAATACTCAAAGTATCGTTACGAATTTTTAGAAAATAGCTACACATTGCCGAATATCGGGGACGTGCGAAAATTAAATTCGAAATTATACTTTTGCGTGGAAAAATTCGATAAAATCGGGTTGATTAAATTTGGACGAATCTGATTCCAATTATTATAGGACGATATATCGATCAATTTGCGAATCAGGTGTGGAAGCCCTCTTCTCAGCGGGCCATTCAGCACAACGACTAGACTGAAGTTTTAATGTTAACAAAATCTGTGTGTGGAATACGGGAAAGCAATGATCGTGGCTGATCTAAGCTGTTTCCGTTGTTTTTCACTCTCTCGACTGGGGAATGGAGTGTTAAACAGTGACTTAAAACGTAAAAACCTGGTTGTAGCAAGATGAAAAACAACAATCGTAATACGTAAACTGGTGTGCATGTATATATATAATATGAGCGCGGCTAGGGAACATACGCACGAGCATACGAATATATCTTTCACTTTTCTTTCTCTTTTTTTTTTTTTTTTAAATCTCTTTCTCGAATAATTTTCTCCGTTGCACGAGTCTCTCGGCGAGTAACACACGATGGAGATTCGAGAACGACGAATTACGAAGAACCGTTTCTCGATGCGATGTTGACGAACGAGGAAAAATAAATAAATAAATAACAGATTAAAGACGTGAGAAAGAATTGGCAAGAGAAAGACACGCAAAAAAAGAGAAAAAATGCCAGTTATAGACTAGCTGAAACGAGGAACGAGGATGTAAAAAACATGAAGAAAAAATACATGAATAAATGAATAAGAGAAATAAACAAAGGGAAGATTCGAACGATGAAAATAAAAAGGCTCAAGTGAAGCGAAAAATCTCCGCCCAGCTACGCTACTGTCCGTTCCTTTGATTACCCCCGAGCGAAAGATGTATGCATATTATATGTACACACACACAGAAACACACACGTACACATATATGTATATGCCCGAGAGAATATATGAATATAGACAAATGCAGCAAAAAAATAGATTAAACATCAAATTCCAGAGAACTGGTATCGGTGTTAGCAAAAAACGTTAGGTCAGAAGCGGTTAACAACCTACCAGACAGAGTATTATATATATGTATATATATATGTATGTGTAAACAAAAATGAGATTAGAAAACGAACAAAATGGAAGAGAGATTAACGAGGAAAAAAGAAAAAAAAGAAAAAGAGAAAAAAAACAAACGTATAAGAGGAAAATAACGAGAACGAGGATAACAATGAGAATGAAATTAACCGTTTTGGGTCGATGGTAACAGAGAGCATCAAAAGATGTAATCGTCGCGGGCGAAAGTAGTAGTACCATAGGCTCACCATAGAAGCGTGCAAAATATACGTCTAATGAGAGATATTAAAAACAAAAATGTATAAGTAAACAAATAAGTAACTCGTATAAAGAAAGAGAGAGAGAGAGAGGGAGCGAGAGAGAGAGAGAGAGAAAGAGAGAGAGAGAAAGAGAGAGCGAGAGGAAAAACTAAAAAAAGAAAAACAAAAAACTGCAGCTGGAATTAAACCTCGTCTCTCTCTATGAAGCGATCATCGATCAAGTTTCTCTCGTGTGTTATGCGATTAAACCAATTGCAAACTGCAACAGAGAATGATAAAAAAAAAAGGAATAAGGAAAAGAGGAAGAAAAGTGAAAGAATAAAAATAAAGGACAGAGAAATGATCGTAAACGAGGAATCCTCGCGCGAAAAACAAGATACAAAAATGATAACAACAGCGAATAATGGTACAGATATAAGAATAACGAGACTAATCGTAATAATCAGAAGAATAACGGTAACAAGAGTAAGAATAATAACTATGTAATAACTTTTGCAACTGCGTAAGAGATAATTTGCTACAAACACAGAGTCTGGTCATGCAAATAATGGCCCGGGAGAAGGGGGGTTGGTTCGTTCTGCTTGGGTGATCGATCAGATCCGCGATTAACAGAGTCCACACGCCCGGTATCTTATTTCGCGATGATCGTGTCCCTCTCGCGTGTTTTCGTCTTCCCCCGATCGAACAGACAGGCCTCTGGCAGGGTACTCGTCGTGGAAAATGATGAGAAACGACGAGGGGGAGGAAAAAAAAAAGAAAAAAAAGAGCAGGAAAGAAGAAAATCCCCTGCCCCTACGCGCAGGACTCCGCGAGGATGATGTTGGGTGTCTGAACGGAATCGTGGTAACGACTTAATGACAAGAGATAAGAGACGGTAACGAAACGAGGAGATCGAGATCTCTCGAGTAGAAGGGAGACTCTTTGGTACGATCTATAGATCGCTGGTTCGTTCGTTCGAGGGGAGGAGGATCGCGCAGAGACAACGGAGCCCCTCCTCATCACCCAAGCAATTCGTGTGCTGCCAAAAGCCGACTTGAGAGGACCGCCGAAAGGGTTTTTGGTTCGCGTGCGTGAATTACAAGACTTAGACACACACATCCACTCACTACTAAAGCTACGGAAATAAACGAGATATAGAAATAGATAGATAGATAGATAGACATAGGAGAAGACAGAGAAAGGTGGTAAGAAATCCACTGTGAGCGAGCTATCCACGCCAGCGAACCAAACCGCCCGTTGGTGGCTGGACAAAAGTCAGCGGTTATTGGCATTCGTATAAAAAATGTGGAGATGGGATGTCGTAAAAGCTGTCAAATTAATAATATTCTACTGCAAATAAGTTCAACACTAGGTTAACTGCGACTCCGCAACCATAACAACAGAGCTGATTATGCTCACGAATAAAATAGTTCAAACATAGAGGAACAACATGTGATTAAAACGTTAAGGAGAGAGTACTAGAAAATCAAAATTCTATCATATCATTCTAATACGTCTAAGCGACTCGAAGAGAGAGATCGTTAGATGTGCAAAGATGGCGGACGATCGATGCATGGATCGTCACGCGTCTTTCTTTCGTTCTTTCTTTTCTTTCTTTTTCTTTCTTGCTAGATTGATAGAAAGCTTTGTGTCAACGTGTTCCCTGCGTTTTGCTTGTTGTTCAATGAAAAAGATACAAAGGAAAAAAATAAAATTAAAAAAAAGATGAATAGGAGATATACGCTACAGCGAGAAACCCGCGGGCACGCGTTTTTTGATTCTTGGTCCCATGTTCCGACTTTTTTCAAACTTTTTTTTTTCCTTTTTTTTCATTTTCTTTCTTTTTTCTTTTTTTTTTTTTTTTTTTTTTTTTTTTTTTTTTTTTTTTTTTTTTTTTTTTTTTGCCACTCGTTTTCCCGGTTACGTAATGCGTCAGAAGCTCTCTATGCAAGCGACAGGATTGTTCCGTGTTTTCGATTGGCGACAGCGGTAAATTAGAATGGTCTGGAGAGCGTCCAGAGAGCGGGAAAAAAGTGTTGCACGTCACGTGGAGAATCGTTTTGAAAATTGACAAAAACTATTACCCGTGCGATGGCACTATTTTTTCCATCTGCTCTTGTTAAAACACGCGTGTTCTGCACGGTTCAATTTAGAGGATCACGCCATTGTCGTTTTTATGGAATTTGACTTGATTGTTTTAAAAGAATCGCGTAAAAGGGTCGTGATATGCAGGATATAATGGTGTCTGTCGTACAACTGTGAAAGGGATGATTTTTAGCACGTGGCGGGAATTTGGAGCGTTTCCGAGAGAATGAATTTTATTGTCGTTCTTGTAATGTTTATTTTGGTAGAATATTATTGCTAAATTCAAGATTACCAAACGTTTTATTTGCTTGAAAATTATTTTTGTACGAAATTTTTGTCGCCATTCGTTTATTTTATCGGTTAAGGTACTGTCGAAAATTATTCCTCTTGTTACAGACATTATACCTGGCTTATGTTAATTATGATTTATTCTACTCATGAATCGAACGATTATGCAATAAATTAGTAACATGTTCAACTAAATTTTAAGATACTTTGCTACCTTGCGATTTTAATTTAGATGTTAACAAAAGTAGAAATTGCAGTGACGGTGATTAATAAAATAAGCAAACTGTAATAAATTTCTACAGTGTCATCGGGTATTTAATACCGAATATTTCTAATTCTTATATCATAATTTCTTATTAAATCGTCGTTTGGTAAGCTTGAATTTAATTATTATAATTTCAAGATCGATTTTCTCAAAGACGAATTTTCGAGACGAGGGGAAATTTTGTTTCAGATCTTCGTCTTATTTTTCCACGAAAAGATCATTAGTTTCATCGATTGCACGACAGACTCGATCGCATCCTGTTTCTGCTTAAAAAAATTTAAGCTCGCGAGTTTTCATGTAAATCAATGTAATTCAAAGCGAGATCACGCAACCGATGCTAATACAGGGACTATTAATATTAATATACATGCAATACATGTTCGGACATTACGTAACAACGGTCCATAACCGTGAGAAATTTTTCTAGTGCGATTAAAAAATTGAAAAAAAAAAAGAAAAACAATAGATGCAGAGAAAAGGGGGAGAGGGACAAATTAATTCAAGTACTAAAGCGTTTTAGGGTAGAGAAATAAAATATACAGGATGTTTCAAGGTAAATGGTGTTTAGAATACCCTTCGAACTAATGATTCTGTGAAATTAATGGTAAAGAAATAAATATCGTTATTTTTCATGCAGAAATCGATAAGACGAAAATGGTAATTCTATCTTTCCCTTTCCATAGTGATTTCAAGATTGGTTTGATTTTTCCGCGTGTAATATTCCCATTTTTAACGAAAAGTGGAAGCAAATTCTACTTTAAAAATAATTTCGAAACATTTCAAATTTACACGGTAGTAAATTGAACTATTCGCTGCCAATAATTATATTTCTCTGGTTATCTAATTATGAGAAAAATTCTTACAAATTATTTCGATAATCCAAATCCTTCAAATATTTCTTTAATAATAGAAAGCCACGTTGGACAGTCACAGATGTCACGATACATAAAAATAATTAAACTCGTGTTTCTCATGGCAAAATGCAAATTAAAAAGAAGGACACTACTATACGGGTGTACAAAACGAATCTCGAAATAACACAAAAAAAGGGGGAACGAATAAACTATACCAGTTTCACCGATTTCTACCCGAAGAACAAAGAAAAATTTTTGCCTGTATCCAGAAGCGAGAAGGAGAAAGGGAAAGGTCAAAAGTAAACAGAAGCATTAGTTCAAAGGTTCGTTCGAACATCATTAGCCTGGAAGCATCGTGTCTATAATTGCACTTCAGATGCGGCTGCATTAGACGTATCCCGACAATAAAGTCCACAATTAACGCGCAACGTTAATGAAAGAAGCGTAATCAAGACAATGGCATGATATAATAATAAGTATGTATAGTAACAATACATATGTATATAATCTCTCTCTATATATATATGTATATAAAATACATGGCAAACCATTTAATGGCAAGGTTCGTACTAATTACTGAATAAGAAGCGTGCATCTCTTTCTTCGTGAATAGGTATTTGTTTGTAAGGGGGGCGGGGGGCGGGGGGTGACGACAACGCTTTCGAAATAGCATAATAATAATAATGATAACAATAATAATAATTATCGATGTAATAATAATAATAATAGACAAACACCAGATAAGGCAGTGGTTATTCGCAGTTATAGTTGCGGTGAGCAGTCGTGAGGGAGATGCCCCCAAAAGCTACGTGTTAGCCAAAGTTACCGAAGGTTCAGGAAGGTTCGATCGTTCCAATTATCCCTGGTGAAAATTCGCGATTCACGATCACGGAAAATTTCTCGGTTCCCCGATGCAAACGTATATATCTCGTTCGAGAGAAGAAGGAAAAGCAGTAAAGGAAGAGGGAAATTTGTTTATAGACACGGAATTAAGTATGCACGACGTAACCTCAGAACGATCGAACGCCTCCCTCTCCCCTGTTAACCTTGAAGGTTAGCAGCATTAAAAGTTCGGGCTTGCATCAAAGCACCATGACGATCTGCGCGAGAGATAAACGGTCTCTTATGGTCGCGGGACCAAAGGACGGGAGAGATCGTCTTGGGTTCCATCGAAACCCCAAAATATCCCCACGTCCCATGGAACGCGTCTCTCTTTTGCTACACCACAGAAACACCATACGGCTAAACGGGTCGCGGTCCTGGTCCGCGGGGACAGGATGGTTATTAACAAACGACAGATTGAGAGAAAAAAAAAAAAAAAAAAGAAAAAAACAGAAAAGAGAGAAAAAAAAACATAAATGAGAGGTAACACAGGCACATTACCACGCATGCATCTCGAAAACTCGTTTCACCTGTTCAATCAGCGTCTGGCGCTTCTAATGCAGACCCGAGACTGGGTAAAAAACTGGTTACAATAATGAGTCTACCTGTCCGCAGCTGTCTGTGTAGACGACACAGTGAGCGTTTTGGGGGACCACTTGGGCCCCGACAGTGGCTAAGGCTGCTAAGGCGATCCACATGCAGCAAACGAGGCAGTGTTCGGTACGGTTTTTTTTTTTAGATCATCATATTTTTTTTTGTTTTTTTTTTTTGAAGTATTCGATGGTAGTAGAATTTTTTTTTTTAATTATCGTTACATATTATTATTTTGTTTTGATATTTATATTATTTTATTTTTTTCGACCGATTATGGTTATGGTTTTTTGGTTCGGTTTATTCGGTGGTCGTTTTATTACCAGTCGGTAGAATTCGGTGGAGTAAGCACCAAAATCAAAGTGAAGCACGCCGAACGTGCCCTCGGAGCACCCAGGTACATGTACACGGAAAAAAAAGAATTCGAGTATATTGTAGGTAGTAGTAGTAGTAGTAGTAGTAGTAGTAATAGTAGTAGTAGTAGTAATAGTATAGTAATAGTAGTAGTAGTAATAGTATAGTAATAGTAGTAGTAGTAATAGTATAGTAATGGTAGTAGTAGTAATAGTATAGTAATAATAGTAGTAGTGGTAGTAGTTGTAGTTGTAGTAATAGTAGTAGTAGTAGTAGTAGTAGTAGTAGTAGTAGTAGTAGTTGTTGTTGTTGTTGTTGGTATTATATTATTATTATTATTTTTATGTTGGTAGCAGGATAGGTTTGGTTTATATATTTTTAAAAAATCATTGTCGCATTAGTCGTCGCATCGTTCGTTGGAAGATGGTCCGCCAAAAAAGGGATGCGGAGGTGGTTATTTTCGTTCGTGATTGTTTGTTTTTTGTATCATTATTTTTTTTTTTTTTGCGGATTTTTGTTTTGTTCTCGATGGTGGACATGGTCGCAACGGTTACGTTATTTCGTTATTTTCCGATCGGTGCATGAACAACAAAGTAGTCGACGTAGGGGGGCGGGGAACGGCGAGGGGGGCAACGGTTGCAACGGAATGACAGTGTGAATATCGCGGATGACAAAAGGGTGTGTGCGCGCGCGCGTGTGTGTGTACGTCGTGGTGTGCACGTATCGAAAATCATCGCGGGTCGCGATCAATGGAATGAACGCGTTCGTATATGCACGTGTGCCCGTTACAATTTTTCGCATGGTTTTATCGTTGAATTCCGTTCATACCGTTTTTGTGTTTCGTTAATGACAGAGGATGGATGCATGTACCAGGGTGTACGAAACGCGCGCGCATACGTACGTATACGCGTGCACATATATGCGGATACGTCGTAAATTATATAGTAAATTGCGATCGTTGTTGTTGCCGTTGTTGTTTGACGGGTGATGGGCGGACATGGCGGCGATAATGCGGCGGCGGTGCACACATACCAAGCCAGCGTTCAAAATATCCAGATATTGTATAGGTGTACGTGTGTGGATGTCGTGTATCGAACGCATCGGCGATTAGAGGAAGAAAATGGGACATATCGCGCGCGACACGCGTGGAACATGGCGTTCGTATGGGAGCGCGTGGGTCGACCGGAAGTGGAGGATTCGCGGGACGGCCCATCACCGGGGTTCGTTCGTCGTCCGAGCAAGACCGCGCGTGTACGTATTCGTGTATGCGTGTATCGTTTCATTATCATCGTCGTGATGTGGAAGCGAGCGCGTGTGACGACACAAAGATTAAATAACCGTGTGTAGTAACGGGTGCGAGTTTCGCGGTGGATCGAAGTGGAAGGTGGTAAAGGTAAATGGTAAAAGTAAATGGTAGAGGGACGTGGAGAATGTACGCGTGTATATATATATATATAAAAAAACAGAAATATGTGCTTTAGTTTAAAAATTACTCCTTTATAATCTAAAAAAAAAATTTATAATTCATCCTTGCGTGGCGCAACCTGTATATCTCGTACATTTCCGATGAAAAGTGGTATATTCTTCGGTTTATATTGAATTATAAACATAAATGGTCTATCGACTAAAAATTCCTCTGATTCTGCCAAATTTAGTGCACGTTTTAGTCTCATATAAACAGCTAGAAAATAAATTTAATTGTATTAAAAAAGTATGTGCAATATAGTTTCACTTTCTTAAAGATTAAATTTACCTGTCGCAGCTGCAGCTTCCGTACCTTCTTCACTAACTTCTATAACTGCTTTATGTAAAACTTTATCTACTACCAATGGTTCATTGGAAATACTATTAAAATTTGCATCAGACATAAAAATTCTCTTTAAACCAAGCTAAAATTTACAATACAAATAAAATATAGCATTCTTAACCTTGTAATATATAAAATATATTATTTATACCTTATATAAACTACTTTTCAAATCGATTGAAAATTCAATTTTAAATTTTGGAAGATATAATTCAATATCATTGTAGAATCGCGAAGCATTCGCAAGTGCTTCCCATGAAAAATTAGATTGCACATTTTGTAGGCCATCTATTTCATTTGGTAATATTATTATCATCACAATATCTGTATTCTGTAAAATATTTTTTTAGTTTCTAATATAAGAATTTATACATATAAACATACCATGTATGGGATTTCAATAAATTTTGCTTGCAGTGTTGGTATATTACCATAATTGTATTGAGACTTGTTAAACATTGTTGGTACAAGTTTTGTTTGTTCTTTTGTAACATGAAACACTTTATTTTTTGTATTCAGTGTATTAAATGTATTTAACCATTTAGCATTAAAATAAATTGCATTTATTAATACTAATTTTGTATCTTCATTAAAATCACCTAAACATCAAAAACACTGTTTATTATATTATTATTTTATTTTTATAATTATTGTAATTACTTAAATATATATTTTTTTTATACATATGAAAATAATTTACTTGATGATACAAGATCAAATATTTTATTATTTGTATTCTCTTTAACCCAAGCATTAATTTTTTCAGCTGTGTCTACATTATTTTTAAAATCAATTTTGGATATCTCAGATTGATAAACCTCTTTTCCTATTGTTAAAAATTCTGTCAATAATTCAAATCCATCTTGTATATATATTGTATTTGCAATATACAATTTAATATTCTCCAGTTCCTTACAAATATAAAAGATATTAATTATGAGGAACGCGTAGGTTTTCGTTGCCGGTGCAGGGATCGGGGAAATGGTCACAATCGCCACATGAATGTAATTAATCGGAGAAGGAGGCAGGATTGGATTTCGCAGCAGTCGTCGCAGATTCCGTGGAACGGGCGGATAACTCAGGCACGTGCGGCGTTTCAGGATCAATTTCAGGAGCGGGATAGGGTGATTCGGGCACGTGCGTGGAGGGCCGGTGTGCGGTCGTGGTGGACGTTGACAGAGAGAGAATCGGAATCGTAATCGTCGATGGAACCGGAATATAAGCGTTGTCGGGACGGAGATCAAACAATTGTATGCGTGGTAATTTTCGGTCGAAAGACGTGCGGTGGAAATCCAGGCGAGGGCAAGCATGAAACAGAAAGTTTAAAGAGAAGATTATGAACGATCGCGCGATTCAACGTGCAACTGATTGCTTTTGCTATCGGGTCGCATAGTGTATGCTGTGAATTATTCTCTTTGCTCCCATTTGCCAGTGAGCTAGTGTGTACATGTAGGTACGTATGTGTAGGCGGTGAGGTGTCAGGTGTATGGCACGTGTTACGCTTTGAGAAACAAACAAAATACAGTACAGTTCACAGCAATGATATTCAGCTACGATCTAACATGGTCTCTCGTTCCTGCACGAGATCCGGTTGTTACAAGGAAGCGGAGAATGGAACGATTTCCGGTCGTTCGAACCAAATGCAGTCGTGCTTTTCCGCAATAGATATATTATATATATATATTCATGTAAATAATAAGAGATCGTGTTCGCATGCGCTTAAGCTTTATTATTTCGTGTTGTGTTCGTGTAGCTGCGTGTACTGTTCTTGTGTCGTATCACGTGATTGGCATATAAATATATATATATACAGATAGATATATGTATGTGTATATATATATATATATGTATATACATATATGTAGACACCATGCGTGTGAATTAACGACGATGTCGGAGTGTTAAAACTGAATCGCAATTATGAAATTAAAATAGACAGAGATAGAGATAGACTGCGTGAAGAAAGACATAGAAATAGATATAAAGAGATGTAGCAAAGAAACTTTTTTTTATTATCGTTCGTACATGATAGCGGTGAAAGATACAGAGAAAAAAGTACGAGCACAAGCCATCGATATCACTTCTTCTTTCTTTTTTTCTTTTCATCTTTTTCTATATCGACACAGGTGTATACGGATCGGACAGAACCGCGATCCGAACCGATATCCGGCCGCGACGCGTGTATACACGTGTACACGTGTGTACGTACCCTCTATACTCCTCCTTCGGAGCGTCGTCTGTCACGATTTCCAGTCCCCGACGTCTCGTTGGAAATAATACGTCCCCGTTGCAATATATCACGATATTCGAAACGAAATTACGCCGGACAACGGGTGAACCGGTTCTGTCCATTCATATCCACCGATCGGCCGTCACACGTTGGACGTTAGAGTGCGGCGATAAACCATCGGTCAAATCGTCCTGGCCATTCGAGTGCAGCTCCGGCTTAATTTGCTCCAGCTCTGTTCGTGCGGTGCCATTGAACATTTATTTTACGTATTCGCGATACGTAATGGCATCGACGAGTAGTCTCTGGCGTTTTTCAGGAACCGGCGCGGCCGCGCGAGGGCGGCTGCGCGTGTGGCTGTGCGCGCGCGCGCGTACGTTTCGTGTCACTCTTACATATGTATATGCAGCATGGTGAAAATCATCAGCGCGTGGTCAACGAATGTGGTACGATTATGAAATTCCAAGACGAAATCGATCCTCGATCGATCCGTATTTTTTTACTCGACCATGCTGATGAATTGCTTCACCTTTTCACCATATTTCTTTCTTATTTTTTTCTCTATTTTCTTTTCTTTTTTTCTTTTCTTTTATCAATACGTGTCTATGGCATTTCTCGTTTTTGCTTTTCGTAGTCGATGACACAGAACGTCGCGTAGCGTAGGATACGTGAATCGTCGAACAATACTGCGTAGCACTCTTCTCGCCTTTGAATCGCAAGGCAATTTTTAAAGCGATCGAAACAGGTGAGGAGGCCTCGGCGCGGTATAGTACTGTATAATATATGTATATATACTTGATGCGATCAAAAGCGTGGATTATTTTATATATATATATATGTATAGAGATATGTATAAAATATACATAGGTTTGTAAATAGAGATGCATGAATACAGCCTGTTTCGGTGACACACCCTTTGGAATCACGGTCGCTCGGTAAAGCGTTTTACCCACGGTTACCGAGGCTCGACGTGTTGCAAAGGTCTCTCTCCATGTGCCAAGCAATTACAAAACAATTCAGTAGGCACACGCGCGACTTTCTTACACAGGCGATAGCGGCGAAATAATATAATAATCGAAGCTGAATAAGAAGCCGACCGAACGCAAGGGTAGGTTACTTGGATACTTGTTACCTCGAAGAAGGTCGATTTCCATCTTTTCGACATCTCTCGTTTTATCATCCGATTATCTCTCGGACTGTCGAAAGTGTAGGACACAGACGCGAATATCGAATTACTAAATCCAACGTTCGAATTTTTCAATCATTTTCATCCTTACATACGGCTATATACACATCTCTCGGAAATTTTCGTTGGGGCGATCAAAGTCGAACAAATTGCACGGACCTTTTCACCTAACATTTTCTGCGATTTCCGTCGTTATATGCACTTGGTGCAACTAATTAATTTCGAAAATTAGCACAGACGTAACGTTAATAATTTTCTTTACAGCTAATTCTACTCTATCTAAATTAGTCTCTAATTTTTCCTAATAATTACATTTATTTATCGAAGTAACAACGAGGCTTTGATTGCCCCAGAAAAATTCCGCAAAACCAAACGATCTATCGATCTCGTCAATTTCATCGCCAACCGGCTTCCTACACTTGCGAACAGCCCTAAAGGTAACCGATCGCGAGTACACACAATTGGCATGTTGCGTATCGACCTTCTTCCCGACAATTATTAGTAAAATCGTAACGGATGGAGAGGAGTAGTCTAATGTGGCGATTGTTGATAAAATCGTGGGCGTGGGAACGGGATGTCGACGTGATAAGATATACGGATAATATACCTAGATATCACTCCTTCGTGCCTCTGAATTTCGCAACTAAAGCGCAGGAGAAGCTGTGGTAGAGGCGGAAAAGGTCAGGAACAAAAATATACGTATGTACGTACGTATCGTACGTATGCACATACATAACGTAATCTTACGGTCAGAGAGATGAGAAAGAAATAGAGAGTAGAAAAAAAGAATGCGAGTGGTACACTCGCTCTGATGGCGTTCGTCATAATATAGAAGCGTCTAAAATCTACAAGGTTCGAGAAAACGACCGTGTGCTTGGCATCGTCTAAAGTGTGCGCTCTTTCACGTGAGAACGATTCGGCCACTTTTTCTTTTTCTCTCTCTTCATTGACAGCATCGAGAGAACGGAACGAGAGAAATAAATGGCGAACAAAATCGCGGAGAATAGCGCGAACAAAATGGAAAGTCAACGAAATAAACGAGAAAATTGAAAATTATAATTGGATCGTTGCCCGAAAAGATCGACTTTATCCGAACGTGACTCGAGATTAGCCAAAAGAACTGCCAATGACCGGAGAATTTGCGAGTAACTGACTTGAAAAATAGAAATAAAATGAAAATTATGTTTTCGGAAAAAACGGAAGGAAATTTACGAAAAGAACGCTGAAAAAGTAACAATACAAGCACCAAGTCGAACAGATCGTCGAAGGATATTAAAAACAAGGGAAGCAGGAAGCGAGGCTAAGACTGTGAGCAATAATGGGCGCAATATCGAGTAATACACGAGTATATATATACATATATATGTTGTATGTATAATATGTATATATATGAATATAAATATAAATATAAATATTACAAGGGATTAGCGAGTTCTCGGGAAGTTCTGTTTCGATAGAAAGAGATGAAATAAGAAGAAGCATTAATAAAACAAATATTCATGCATTTCTCAAGCATTATTATTACAAATACTGGCTGACTCCTTGACAAACCCCGTGAGCGTGCACGCGCAAAAACGCATTCGGGACCTCGAAGACTCATTTGCATCATCGTTTTCATTTTCATTCGTTCTCTCAATTGCGTTATTCATATTTTTTTTTTTTCTTTTAATTATTATTTATTTATTTTTTTCTATCATTTTTTCTGTTTTTTATTTTTCGTGTGTGTGTTTTGCTCAAATTGTTTCTGCCTAACACCGTCTCATCCTTTCTATAACTTTTCCTCTCACTTCATCATCGTGTGTTCTTTCCTCTGCCTTTTGTCTCTGAGTCGACGACGCAGACTAACACGCGGCTATATCATATACTCATATATCGTATTATATCGTATGTACGTGTAATATCGTTAAAACATCGATAACTGTAAACTCGTTTCCTCGACATTGGAAAAATGGACGACGTGTCTCGTTCTTTTCCGTTCATTTATCTCTCTTTCCTAACCTCGCAGGACGAATCTCCTCGCCACGCGATTTTACCATTTCTGGCTTCGCTCTCGCGGCGGTCGTGACGATATCGTGCAACGTGTACGTACGTGTCTTTATGTGTGTGTGTATGTGTGTGTGTGTTTGTATATGTATCGTGTGCCTGCGTGCACTAACCGCGTCTACAAAAAAACACGCATACAAGCGGTCAAAATATGCTTTGAACCCGTTTACAATCGTCGAGATCATCTCTCTTTCGTTCGTCGATTTTTGCGTTCCCGAGGTTGTCGCTGATCGCGTTTAAGTCTCGTCCAAGACCATAATCTGTCCCCTCGACGTCGTCTCGGACGATTACGTCTCGCGCCACGTGCGCGCGCATACGTACACGCCCGATGGTGCTGCCACCGTCGAGCATGCGCGTAACAACGTACGAGTATAGTTGAAAAAAAAAAAAAAAGTCAAAGACAAAACGGTACACGATAATAAATACTACCTGTATGCACGTAATATTACGTTTAGTTACGTCGTGAAACGTGGATTCTTTTTATATCGTTTATAATTCTTACTTGACATTTTATGTATACATTATGTATATATATATATATAATAGGTCAGCATAGTTCATAAGATAATTCGATTGCCATTGCTGGACAATTATCTCGCGACGAACGCCGACGATCCTTTCGTTGCACGATATCTGGATGCAACATTAATCGATAGGTATGACTTACGTTCGAATTTAATATAAATATAATCATGTAGGTATTATATATATATATACGTTAGGTGCTTTCTTAATGTGTTTCTCTCGAGTTTACTCTTGTATACTCTAGTACACGTGTGTCGTCTGTGTGCAACGGTGTACGAGTGCAAGGGGAAGGCACTTCCGCTGTTTTTCGGTCGATTTCGCGCTGAAAGCTCGACACTGCACGTTGTCCTTTCATTTGCTCCACGATTGTCCGTTAAAAATTCGAATTCGAAAGATGTCGCGAAAGAGTGACATAATTAAGGATAAAGCAAGATATATAGATCGTTCGATATTTTGATTATAAATTATAAATGTACAAATTTATCTGCGTTGTTGAACATCGATCGAGGTTAACGATCGAATTTCTCTGAGGGATGCAGTGCCAGGATTTCAGCGAGGATCTAGGAAAAAATCAGCCACCCTCTCGATAGTGTACGTACAAGTGTGAACAGCGAGTTGAGGAACCCTAGAGTTGTCGGTTCGTGTGCGTGACTCGTTAGAAACCGGAAAAACGCGTACAACCTATGCGCATCCTCTGTGCGAGGCATTCTAGTCCAGGAGGCCGTTCGAATTCGTTCACGAACCGTGTATATCGTTATCTTATAGTTACGTATCTCTGTACACAGAGTATATCCAAAGACAGGAATCGAAAATAGGAAGAATAATCCACTCGGTGTGACGATAGATACAGAAAATACTTTGTAAACGCGTCATCTGAAGGTTTCCGTTCTTTTCCGCCATTGTTACAAATTTTCTAAGAAAGAATGTTTCTTAAAATTAGGGAAAAACGTCCATTTCGAATTTAGCAGGCTGCAATGCAATTATAATACCGTGAGTTTATTAGTATATTGAAAAGTTATTGGAAATATTCTAGGATTCAATTTTCTTTTTCTTTAATTAAGGGGAAAAGGTGTTACGCAAAAGTCTCCGTTCTGAAATTATGGTCGACGAAATTTTTACAAAGACGAATATTCCTTTAGAACAAAAGGAAATGGTCAATTTCCGAATTTAGAGGACTGCAGTGGAATCCTGTTGTAGCTGAATAATTCCAATTATTAGACAATTTTTGGAAATATTCTGTCACTCGATTTTCTAATTCTTTTGTTTATATCAAGGAAAAGGAAGATATCGTGTGATCGTCACTGTCGAAATTCTATGAAGTCAAATATACTTTGAAATTGAAAGAAAATGGGCTATATCGAATTTAGAAGTTTGCAATAAATTTCTTCGCTTTTTCAAAATACTCGAAGTACATTTACATAAGATATGTCCACCGAATAGAATATCCAACCAAAATTCAATTTATCCACGCTTCGAATACACCCTGCATCCGTATGTATGTGTACGTGTGCATGTTCGCGTAAAAATGTGAATGACAACGTGTATGCTTGAGTACGTGTACGCACGTGTGCTTGTCAGTGTTATACATCGAAAACGTACTATCACAACGAATCGCCATTTTGCTTTCTTCCAGTTTTTCTCCGCATTATTTTTTTTTCTCTTTTTGGCCGCGAAACCAAGGCATTCGCCACGCTTATGTTTCGTTTATCGAACGATACAAAATAACCGCGTTACATTCTGTCGCTATGGAAGACCGTGTTTCCTGAACTATTTTGCGCCCGGGATGAGAGGATACCATGAGAAATCGGCCACGAATAGTTTCGCCATTTTGTGCGTGTTGCTTTTGCGCGCACGTTACGTGCATGTGTTCACCGTGTACTTACATGTGTGTATCTTTGTGCGTGCGTGTGTACGTGTGTATCGTGTGTTCTATTACGATCGCAACGTGGCAACTGCCTTTGAGCCTCGTGGCCAAAATAAAAGGAACCGGGGTGAAACGAGAGAACGCGAACTCCCTCTTTCAGAGGTTCGATCCATGATCGATCATTTTTCCAATCTTCTCGAATCTTTAACCAACCAAGAATATTTAACCAACCAATTTAACTTTATCTTACAATTTTGCTCCACTCGCGAGCTTCGATCGAATACGAATTGCAAGGAAACTGAACTTTCCCGATGGAAAAATTTGAAATTATATTTCCTTCTACATATCGATTTTCATCTAAACGATCACTGTCGCGTAGTACCACGTACTCCACGGCTCCTTTCATTTGCTTAATTTCTCTCTTCTTCACACTGTATATGCCAGCGAATATTTAAGGTATGTATATATAATACATATATGTATATCTATACGTACAATATAATCATCTTCGATACTCTTTCTTTCTTTGTTTATGCGTAAAGAAAATTATTATTTACACGTATATAGATCTACAATATATTTAAATATAATATACGTATATTTATATATATATACTTCTTTGTTTCATCGTTAGTTATTATCGTCATCATCATCATCGTCGTTGTCGTCGTCGTCGTAATCGTTACGTCGACTAAACGAACTTTCAAATCACTGGCAGACACGTGTACGGATACGCAGAACAGAGAAAACCTTTTTTTTTTCTTTTTTTCATTTTTTTCCTTCTTGTCTAATGTCGTTCGACCTGGCGAGCGATTTTCCTTTCTCTTTCGCGTAACATAATCTCCGCTCCGGACATGTTTCTCTCGCGTGCGCTCTAATTAATTACTGTTCGATAAGAAATGCACAAATATATATATATATCACATATATATATATATATATATATATATATATATATATATATGTGTGATATATATGTATGTATGTATATATCTCTTTGTCTTTTCGACGAGTGTACGTGTGTATTTGTTGAACGTATTTGTGCGGTCGTGTACCATTAATGCGCATGTGAACTCGTTTCATATACAATTTTATCTGGTTTTTTTTTATCATTTTCTCGAACATATTTATTCTTCTCACTCGGGAGGAGACATTTTCCCGAATCTCAATTTCAGAGTCTCTCGTCATCCTCTCCTTATCTCCTCTCCTCTCAAACTCAGCCTTCTCCTCACGTGTGTGTGTGTTTTTCTATGTCCGTTGTTTTCTATCCGTATCCGTTAATCGCGTAAATGCATGTATTTTGTTATTATTCGCCTTTTTTTTTATCTTTCTCTCGCTTAACATATATTTATATATATGTATAATTTTCCGTTTTCATTTTTCATCTGTATTTTTTAAATCGCTTTTTTTTGTTTTGTTTTGTTTAAATCTATCGTGTCAATCCGTTTTCTTTTCTTTTTCTTTTGCGCTTTGTTTCCATACGATCGGCTGTCGTTTCGTTTTCGTTTCTCTTCTCGGCTAAATGCATAAGCTCGTGAGTTGCAATTGACGAGGTTCACTGTGTGCAATTAAACTCCCCCGAATTGAATCCGTGAAGGACAGACTGCACTGTGCCTTCGTGTTTCACACGCTATTTACGTTACATACTAATAGATAAATATATATATATGTGTGTGTATATATATGTATAATCATAGCACTAGATAAAATGAGATAGGACGAAGTCTCTTTGCTAAAATCTATGCACGTACGTTAATCATACGAATTAAAAGGATCGCCCGAACACGACGGCGTTTCCGCTTCTTTCAATCTCATCGATGTGCAAGGTGTTTCTAGGAAACATACGTTACTATGATAGTTGTCGATTAATCCCTAAAAGCTAAGTGGAAAGGGCGGAGGTCGGATCGGTAGAAATTTCAGTGACAATTCCGATGATACCAGTCTCAATATCGATGATCGAGTTTCGAAACGCGACGCGTAAACTATGTCAGGCGAAACGATTGCTCTGTAATTCGCGACTATGTCGACGGGAATTATTCACGTCCCTTGCGAGAATTCGTGGAAGAAAAGGGCAACAAGAGAGAAAAAAAAAAGAAAAGAAAATAGGAAACTAATAGAAGAAGAAATGGTTAGACCGTTTCAATTCGACTCACTGGCTTTCCTCCATTTTCCGCCTCACCTCCCCTCCCCGTCTCTCTTTAAGAGTAAACCTATTACGGTAAACGATAAAAATAATAAAAATCTGAGAAACGTTAAACGAACAATAATTATAGCGAATAAAAATCGATCGACTTCGATCGGTTATAATATAATCTAAGAAGTTAATATAACGAGCAATCGACTGTGAGAATGGACTTCAACGGCTGTCTGAGAGTACAAACGGTTCGATAATATTCTACGACTTAAAAAGGCAAGTAGTGTGTACACACGTAACGTGACTTAGGCCGAGCATCGTTTCCGTCCATCTTGGCGTAGAAAATAAAAAATATATATAGAATATATTATATAGATAATATAGAACAAACATCGATATATATAGAGTACAATAATAAATCCGACGAAGGAACGATAGTGTTTTCTCATTTTTTTTTTTCTTTTTCCTCTCTCTCTCTCTCTCTTTCTCTCTCTCTTTGCTGAGGTCGCAACAAAACGAAATAATATTTCCAAAAAGAAAACAAAAAAAAACAAAACGGAACAAAGGGGTCGCGTGATGACGCGCCACCGATAGAAATTTTCAATAAATTTTTTTTTTTTTCCTTTCGATCATTCCTTACTACCTTAACGTGCGCTACGACGGGGAATTATTCCTCTTTTCTTTCCTTCTAAAAAAGGCTACGGCTAAGGAAACGTTATACGCTAATAAAAATTATCTTCAAAAGGTACGCTAGAGCGTATTAAAAAAGGAAAAATAATAA